CTCGCCGTTGGATCATCAGGTCATCGGGCAATCATCTCGTTCTTTCAGATTTTCTGTCGTTTTCCTGTTTTCTTCTGCCGAGAGTTGAGTGATGGCGAGTTCGGGGGCGGCGGGGTCGGATGCGGGCGCGGGTGCGGGTGTGCATCCGGCAGCACCAGCGGCGGCCGCCACGGCGCCTTTGGAGGCGGATGTGAGTATGGAAGATGTCGCTGTTGGGCTTCCCCACCACCCCATGCGTGGCTTTTTTTTGGTCAACTTCTGGGCTGATCACTTTTGGGGGCAGGTTGGTGATGATGAAAATGACGGCGGCGATGCAGATTCCGCCATGGGGGAGGTGAGCACTTTGCCGCCCGCCCGGCCCCTCTCTCAGTCGCATTACGTGTCTATTCGGAAATTCGGATACTGACTTTCGGTTTTCTTGTTTTGGAGTCTGTGCTTGGGTCTTCAATGTCAATGACCAGCAGCATCATGCGATATCGCGAAGAGAACGGGAGGACTTATCACTCCTTCCGGGAAGGCAGTGAGTTATTCGTATTCATCTGTCATAACCCTTCATAGCCCATCTGCCGAAAATTGTGCCAAAACTGACGGGGCCCCCCTTCCCAATTTCCAGGATATGTCTTACCCAACGACGCGGTAAGTGCCACAATTCTGTTCCAAGCGAAGGGAGCCGAGGCCACGGAACCCGAGAGAAGAATAATTGCCCGTTGACGCCCGAGTCAGGTTGAAAACGACAGACTAGGTCAGCCAGACCCCTTGGCGGGAAAAAGCCGATCGCGAGATTGTTAGACATTTTGGAATTAGCGCTGACGTTTTCATACGTGTGTGAGGGAAAAACAGACCTCCAACATCACTTGTACACCCTCACGTTTGATAACCAGTTGTTTACGTGTCCGGCCGGCCGGGACAAGCCGCTCCGCCGGGTACTAGATGCAGGAACGGGGACGGGGATATGGGCCATGGACCTTGGTACGAAAAATGGGCACTCAGCCACGCTCTCTCGCTGTCTTTCGCCCTGGGCCCACTTCACTTCGCTTCCTTCAATTCGCTTCCAACTTCCTTCGTTCTCTGGCAGGGGGCTTGGCTTTTTATTTCCCGGATTTTGAGAGCTGACCTTTGGTGGCTTGCGTTGGTTTTGACTGCAGCCGACGAGCATCCAGAGACTCTTGTGAGTTCATGCTGTGTTCAGCTTCCCAGGCAAGGGGGTTGGGGTGATTTTCATGTGGCTTACGGGAGATAGATTACCGGCGTGGACTTGAGTCCGATCCAGCCAGTATTGTCAGTATTGATGACTGCATAACCAATCTGCTAGCGTCGCAGGAGCTAATGCATGCATGACGCCAAAACAACAGTGTTCCACCGAATGTCACATTCTACGTCGATGACCTAGAAGACGAATGGACTTATTCTTACAAGTTCGACTTCATATACGGCAGAATGCTAACAGGCTCGATCGCCGACTGGCCGAGGTTTATACGGCAAAGCTTCGAGTGCGTTCTCCCGCAAATGGCGGGTTCCTCATGTGGCTGACGCGCCCCAGATTTCTTGAGCCCGGTGGGTGGTTGGAGTTGTCAGATATCCTACTCGATCTGAAAAGTGACGACGGCACCGTGACACCCGCATGCGCCGCTCAGAAATGGGCGACGCACATGCTCGAGGCAGCGGCGGTTTGGAAGAGGCCGCTTGATAGTTGCAAGTTTTACAGAGAACAGCTTGCCGCAGCCGGATTCAAGAACATTAAGCAAGAGATATACAAATGGCCGTCGAACCCGTGGCCGAAAGACCCAAAGTACAAAGAGCTAGGTATGAGTTTTCTTAAACGACATGGACATCTGGCTCAAACTAACATTGGGTTAGGTATGTGGACATATGAGAACCTTGGAAATGGCCTTTCGGGATTGAGTCTGGCATTATTTACGAGAGCACTCGGCTGGTCGCCAGCACAGCTCGAAGTATTCCTGGCGGGGGCGAGGAAGGATATGAGGGACAAGTCAATACATGGATGGTGGCCAATGTGAGTTCTGAAATTCAGGTTTGAGTGTATCATGTGCCTAATAGGTTTTAGATATGTTGTGTATGGTCAGAAGCCCGGCTAAATACAACCTCTTCGCCCCGCTCCATCTTACAGACTAGTCTAGATCAAACAAAAGGTTTCTCTGCATTGCTGCTGAGATGATACTTCACGCTTGGCTAGGCTTCTCTTCCTGTTTCGTCAACTTAAACTAGAATTGATATATTACCTGTAGACCATGTTGACTACTGGGTTACTCCGACGGAGATATTTACCAGGAGATTGCCTAATTATCACATGTCTGGGCGGCTATATTTCTTCTGTACTCGGTAACTTTGATGAGGATAATGAGAGTGGACGACAATGGTGGACGACAATGGTGGACGACAACGGTGAACGACAATGGTGGACGACAACGGTGGACGACGACGGTGAAAGACGATAACGGCAGCGACAATAGTAACGATATTAGCGACCAAACCAGCAACGACGATGACGGTAAGGCAGAGTATAGCCACAGGAGATAGTCGCTTGGACTGTGAACAGAGAAATCCCTTAGCTCTATGGCTGTGGACACACCTTTTGGACTACTATATAACTCTGACGGGGAAGTAAGTATTCGAGGGCCAGGATGGCCTACGCTTCACGGAGAAACCTCTATGGCCACCTACGAGGTATATTAAGCGGGCGCGAGTCGCCACGGGGCAGGTCCCTCTTCACATCAACACCTTACTCCCTTCAACGTCAAAATGACGAGTCTTCAGCATATGCCCGGCGAGATCATCTGTTTGATTGCAGAGTTTGTTTTCTTCCCTGACCTTCACACGACCAGTCCGTACGACGATGGGGTCACGGTAAGAAGTAAGTACCGCGCTAATGGTACATTTGATCACTGGCAAGATATTGCCGACATGTCAAAGACTTGCAAAGACCTCTACAAGCATGTTCAGCCTCTACTACACAAGTGGGACAATCTGTACAATCACTCTTCAGCCTTGCTGCTATCGGTCAAGAAGGGCAACTTGGACGGCGTTCTGAGATCGCTGCAGTATGGCGCCGACACCGAGAATCCAGACTATACTCAACGCCAGAACACCAAACCATTCAAAGATGATCCGTACAGTTATGGCGTTTCATCCTCGTCGGTGGCTGTGCATTGGGCAGCGATTGGTGGTAACGCTAAGATTGTAGACGCCCTACTCAATCACGGCGCCAATGCCGACGCCCGCTGCACGCTGAGCACCCGAGCTGACAGAGCAAAGGTTCGGTTCGTGCACGATCAGTTCGCTCTCTTTTCATACTGTACGCAGGATGAAAACTGGCTGCTCCAAACATACGCGCGTCGACGACTTGCGAGATCACTTGGCGTGAACGCTCTCTTCTTCGCCTTGAAGTCTCTTGGCAAGGAAGCTGCTGCTGCTTCTTCAGCCAACAGACTTGTTCTCTGCAGAAAATTGATAGAATCCGGGGCATCGCCGGTGATCCGCACCTATGATGGGCTTCACGCCCTCCACGTAGCAGCTATCTATGGACTGGAAGACATCACGGACTACCTGCTTGCAGAGGGGCATTGCAATCCCAACGTGGCTGACGACAAAGGAGACACTGCATTGCATTATATAGGCCGAAACCTCGCGAGCACCCGGACAGAGGCTATTATCCAACGACTTCAAGAAGCCGGCGCGGACATCAACGCCCCGGATAGGGAGGACATGACCCCCTTGGACCTGGCTGTTCGTCGCGACCTTTCTGACACTGCCTTGTGTCTCCTTAGGAATGGGGCACAATGGCGTCAAAAAACAATTGACTACTACTACAGCTATTCCGGCTCCGAAAGTTATTTTCGTTACGATATTGGAAACGATGGACTGGCGCCGCCCAATGTGGAAGGCTACGAATCTGATGTGCCCGAACCATGGTAAGCGCATGCTGTTTAGACGACGGCAACAACAATACGGACAGAGAGAGACAGAAACAGGGACTTTATGTAGGGGCGACGGGGACGACGGGGACGACGGGGACGACAAGAATAAGAAAACCACCACAATAGAATGAATTATCAGACCTCATTACTATTTGCTTAGTTAGCTGAAAGTATCCGGCCAGATAGTAAGACTCATTAGGTGTTGAACTTTAGTATTCTACGTTGCTACCGGCGCATGATGATAACAATAATAATCGAATAATTTCAGTCTATTGCAATAAAAATCGCGTGGAATACATGTTTTGCTTTTTTTCCACATCGCAATACCGAACTAGTGTTTAATTTCAAACCGCCCAGCCAGACTTTCGCTCATAAGGGCCATTCGCCACGAAATGCAGCATGGCTAGCAACATGGACAGCCGGTCCAGGAACGGAGAAATATTCGTTTCTCGCCATCTTCGTCACGCCGTATTTGCAGCGCATGAGGTTTGTTTATCAACGCCTACTGCGTTTCATTTGCATGTCAATGATGTCATTCTGTTTGCTACCTGTCCCTTGCCGAGTCAGTTCTGGCAAAGGGCAACTTTCACACCCCGGGTATGTTTTGCAACACAGCAATGCTACACGAAGGTCGCGGTGGTGTGAGTTCGGAGTTTTAGTTGACCCAATCGCTGGCCACGGAGCGTTTTTTTCACGCGTCAACGAGCTAGATACTTGTAACGCAGTCATAAGCTAATTTCCATTCTTGAACTTTGCTGTGACCACCGCCATCGATGGTCTTTCGGAGTCGTGCCCCCGGAATGTGCGTAAGCACAATACTGCCAAGCATCCTTCAGAGCCTTGGAAAGTCCCAAGCGCCAATCATGTTCGCGTTATCTCATGCTGCCTTCGAATTGTCGTCGGCCAAGCCAATAATCCGAGTCCGACTTCTTCTGACGGCGTCACACCACTATTTGACAAAGGTCCCTTCAGATCTCCGTTTGATCCGATTTTTGCTGATAAATTATCCAACTTTTCCCTCTGACCTCTTCAAGTTTCTCAATACACATGACAATTGAGGCCACCATGTCGTTAGGACTCGCTGCAATCTATCCTGAGGGAACCGGTGACAGAATCGGGATTTCTTCGCGTTTGCAACAAGATGGAGACGAGATACAACCTCCCGCCCCTTCAACCGCGCCAAAATTCGCGCCAAAGGCCTCTCCTCAAGAAACAACAACGACGCAAACCTCCAAGCATTCTAATGTTGCGCATCCCGATCTGCCCCCGGACGACGACCCCAATACCGACATGCCAAAACTCTCAGGGACGACCATTGCTCTTACTATGACGTCGCTCTGCCTATCAGTCGCCCTCTCAGCGCTGGACATGACTATCGTGACCACGGCTATCCCAAACATCGTGGCATCGCTCGATTCGGTCGCTGGGTATATCTGGGTAGGCTCGGCATTCATCCTCGGCTTCACCGCCGTGACGCCAATCTGGGGCTCCGTCGCAGACCTCTGGGGGCGGAAGCCAATCATTCTCTTGGCTCTGACGATTTTCCTGGTCGGAAGTCTGCTTTGCGCGCTTGCGTCTCATATGGACGCCCTCATCGCTGGCCGCGCCGTTCAAGGAGTCGGCGCCTCCGGTATGGGTGTCATGGTTAACACCATTATCTGCGACATGTTCTCGCTTCGCGACCGCGGGTTGTATCTTGCCATCACCTCCATAATTTGGGCCATCGGTAGTGCGGTAGGTCCCGTACTGGGCGGTGTCTTTGCGACAAGACTCGAGTAGGTCCCGCCCCTATCACTCAAGCAGACGCTGTAAGCCAGATGTCTTTTGCTGACTGTCCTTTTACTAGTTGGCGATGGTGTTTTTGGATTAATCGTGAGTGAATCTGCATGTGTCAATTGGAGCATGAAGACTGATTAACAATCAAGTACCGATCGGCGGAGTGGTCTTCATCGTTCTCTTCTTCTTTCTCGACCTTCCATCCCCCAACACTTCCGTCGCGGCCGGACTCAAGGCAATCGACTGGACAGGCAGTTTGTTTTGCATGGGCGGGTCGCTGATGGTCCTTCTCGCTCTGGACTTTGGTGACGTTACGCACCCCTGGTCTTCGGCCACGGTCATTTGTCTCATCGTCTTCGGCCTCGTCGCCATTGGCATCTTTCTCATGAATGAGTGGAAGCTCGCCGCCAATCCCGTGCTTCCCTTGCGGCTGCTGTCAAGCTGGTCGGAAGCGGCTGCATACTTCGTCTTCGCCTTCAATGCTTTCGTCTTCATTGGCATCACGTACTATCTGCCTTTGTATTCACAAGCGGTGTTGGGCGTCGACGCGTTGACATCCGGCCTGTATCTGCTGCCACTAATTGTCTCCTGCTCGTTATCCGCGGCTTGCGCAGGCGTGTTCATCCAGAAGACTGGTCGTTACCGGGTGCTGATGTACGCAGCGCAGGTTCTCCTGACACTAGGCACCGGGCTCTTAATCAACCTCGAGTTCGAACGCAACCTAGCAAAGCTGTTTGTATTCCAGATCCTCACCGGCATTGGCGTCGGGCTCAATATTGAAGCTCCCGTCCTGGCGGCTCAGGCTGCAACCACAGCACGCGACACAGCTGCCGTACTGGCAACGATGAGCTTCCTGCGCTCCATCGCGACAGCCATCTCTGTCGTTGTTGGTGGTGTCATCTTCCAGAATCAGATGAAGGCAGGGAATTCAGCCTTGGCTCGCCAGATCGGTCACGACTTGGCAAGTCGATTCGATGGGGATAACGCGTCGGCTCATGTTGAAGAAATTGGGCTACTTTCAACAGACCAGCAAGTACCTGTGAGACAGGCCTATTTTGGAGCACTGAGGACGGTATGGATTATGGTAAGTAGTTGCTACTCGGTGCATCAGGTTCACCTCGGCGTGGCGTGCTTCGAGAACCCTGAAAAGCCCTTCGTTGCTAACCTTGTCGAACAGTATGTCGCCTTTGCGGGGCTGGCAACGGTTCTGAACCTGTTCGTGTCGGAATATCATCTGAGTGACGAGAGAAATGCGGTCGTTCTCGGTGTCGACAGGGGAAATCCTGGCCCATCGGATCAGCCAGGTCGAGAAGTCGACATACCCCTGGAGACATCAGGTCGGCAACGCGATGGGGACCAGCAGCATAACTTGAGAAATAGAGGGGTTTGATAGCTAATGGTGGTAAAAGCATTGATTTGAATTACCTGCGCTATGATATAAATCAATGTGGACGGCTCGATCCCACCCTGTCGGTCCACCTGTCTAGCCAGAAGGAAAATGGCTTAGGCATTTCGGTAGCTTTGAAAACTTAGAGGCAGCCTGCAGTACGTTTGCAGCAAACTGGGCCCGGAGAAAAGCATATTTACCTAGGCACACTGGGAGGGTCGTTGTTTTGTTGGGGAAGGTTCTGAGGCTTCACATAATCCGTATGTCCCGCCGAGACCTCCTATCCTTCCTGTGCGATTACGTTTCCTCTCTTTGCTATCATCGTCACCACCGTCGTGACCTCGTATCGCCCATACTATCGTCGTCCATCATCGTCGTCCATCATCGTTACTATTTTCTCTACTACTGTCGTCCTCATAGAAGTAAGTTAGGGAACACTGCCCGGGTAGTCAACTGACGCTGCCTGGCTAGCAAAGCTCTTTGAGCTTTACATCTTATCACCCCACAAAGACAGATTATGATCCCAATATGCCACGACTGTCAGATCAAAATAACGTCGTCGAGAAAACAGCTCCATCCATTACTGCCCTTCCGGCAGACGTTTTTCTTCTAATCACCGACACTATTCTTGAAGTCGAGACCCTTGATATAAACAAGAGTGTGGGAAGAGGCCTCACAATATACGACCACATCAAAGTCGTTGACAATATGGATGATTTATTCCAGTTACTGGATAAGACAGAGCTGAATTGGGGCGCGTTCAAGAGATGGAGAGATCTAGCACGCTTCGCAGCGACATCTAAGACGCTCTATTCGATGGTGACCCCGATATTGTATCGATATGATACAAAGTACGGCTACTCCTCTGCGTTGATGATATCTGCAAGGAAGGGCGTGCTTAGTGGGGTTATCAGGTCTCTGGAGTACGGAAAGGCCGACCCGAACACGGAGGATCACACCCAGTTCTTCCACTGGGCTCGGGTACACGGAATATCTCGAAAACTCCCTCCAGTCCCAACTTTGAGGAAATGGCTCTTGCCCTCCCTTACTGGCTTGCACCTTGCATGCCTCTATGGTCATCCCGAAATTGTCGACGCACTTTTGAATCACCAAGTCGATATCAACAAAAGGGCCCACGCGTGGTGTACGAGAGTTACAAATGGAAGTTCCCATTTATTTTGCCGTTTTGCTCCGTTTGCAGTCACAAATTGGGAAGATTCCAGTCCAATGCCACTGTTTGGGGCGAATGCGCTCTTCTTCGCGCTCAAGGCAAGTCTGCACAAATGTTGCTGGTCCGGTAAGGAGATATCTACACGCGAACCGTGACCTCTTTGTATATGCTAACGGCTATGAAGAACACAGGGATCGTGACCCCATGGAAGATCCTAAGGGTATCCCGGATGATGCTAAGGCTGTCAAGAAAAGTTTCAATCAAAGGGATATCGGCACGGTAATACGCCTTTGCGAAGCTGGATGCAGCCTCATCACAAGGCAGTACGAAAATGTCCATGCCTTACATCAAGCATGCGCTCATGGTCTCATCAATATAGCAGAATACCTGATCCGAGGTTTGCACGTTGACGCCAATGTCAGGGATAGCAAGGGACTCACTCCGTTGCACTACATGGCTATACCTACTAACGTGAATGGGTTCTTTGATCAAGGGCTCGACGTCAATCGACTTGAGAGAACATTTTATCTCCTACTTATTTCCGGCGCAGACGTCAACGCCAAAACAGACTCGGGTGTTCGACCCATTCAAATGGCGTTGGAATCACCTAACGGCTTAGATTTGGCACATTTGCTGCTGTGGAATGGATGCAAATGGGGGCGCGAATACGAGACTATCTTGAACGGGAATCAACGCGCATATGACGAAGAGAAACGAGAGGTCAGGAGGGTGCTTAGATATATCAGGATCAACGGTCCAGTCAAAGGGTATAGATTTTTGGCCGATGGAGGGCAAGACTTTTGAGTGAAGTGGGTGCCCCTCGTTGACGTTCTTTCAACTAGGCGAGAGGCAGAGACCGTGGAAGGAAACAAGCATATTGGAGCTGAAATAGATCGGAGCATAAGGTGACCACACTGCTCGGTCTTATTTCCCGACAGAGTGAACAAACAATGAGATTCTTTACTACCTAACTCCATACCCCGTAAGTGCGTATCCGAGTGTCTGTGCCAGGTTCGCTGGTCATAATTTGGAGAGGATTAGTAATCCCCGATGTTTTGACATTCTTTGCGATAGACTTCCCCGCGACGGTAGCTTCAATGCTTGTCTTGTTCATTCCAAGTGCGAACATGGCATATAGAGGACGAGTATCCCGAGGATGTCTCAATTGTAAGGAAGGTAGAGTCAAGGTAAGAATCTCCGACTTGCCCGATTTTCTCCTGCCGCTTGTTACTCACAGTCCACACACCAGTGCGACGAGGAGAAACCGTCCTGCTCACGGTGCCGTCGCCTCAAATATGTCTGCCCCGGCTACTTAGATCAGTGGACCCTAGTCCTCCGCCAGCAGGACACACACGCCAAGGAGCACGTTCGAAAGAGAGTCGAGAGGGCTCAGAGGCGTCGAGCTGAGTCTGGTGGAGGTCAGCTCCAAGGGAGAAACATCAGCTCACCGCCGCCGGCCTGGACGCCATTCGTCGGCCCCGAGACGCCGAGTGTTTACAAATTCTTCAGTGACTATACCTCGAGGTCTGGCATTGCTTACCTCACATCTTTGAAAGACTGCTATGCCTTGCAGCCTGCTTCATGTCTTGCCAACGCCATCCACGCCGCAGCGCTGGCCAGCGTGGCCCGCCAGCAGTCCCAAGCTGGGCTGATGGATCGTGCGCGGCAGACATATGGGAAGGCGATCCGCGAAGTGAATAAGGCAATCCAGAATGAGGTCTTAGTGAGAGATGACTCGGTGCTCGTTGCGCTGTTTGTCATGGGTTTCTTCCAGGTATGCGGCTGCAGACTCCCCCTAGCTCACAGTTTTAACAAGACCCCGCAGGTCATCGCGGCAGAGTTTGCTCCGGATCTTAACCCGACTTCTGAGCCGGGGTGTCTTCCCCACGCCCGTGGAGCGCTGGCATTATTTCGCTATCGAGCGCAGCACCGGCTAAGCAACGCGCTGGATTGCACTCTACTTGTGATATTCCAGCATCTCAGGGTATTATTGTCCCATTCTACTCAAACGACCGGTCACTCTGCTGACTAGACTATCAGCTGGCAGACCTCTTCACGACATCTTACATGATCCCTCCCCTCTGGTTCGAACTTGAAGCGTTCATCAAGTCTCTTGACCAGGGTTCTTTGCTGGATCCCTTGGCTCGACGGGCCGTGGACATTAAGATCCGTTTTATGTCTGCAACATTAGGGCAAGCCTCTGATTCTCTCACAGATATTGTCAGATCAGGCGTTTCTGTGGCTCAAGACCTCCAAGAGGCTGCCAACAACATAACCTTCGACCCCAAATTCGATGGTCCGCCGCCCGCTGTGTTCAATGCACTCATTACCATCTCGAGCGCCACCCACGCTGCTGTCGCAAAATGCCTCTATTTGACAGTACGACTACACATCTTTGAAATAATCTCAAAAGCAACCAGTGACTCATTGGACGACATGAGCATGCATCTCGACCAGCAGCTGTTAAGCATGCCAGCTGCTGCACCTTCTCTAGTGAATGAACTAGGCAAGGCGCTCGGCCTTGATGAGGGGTCGACCCAGAACGGTCCAGGCGTGGGCATGCTAGTCTTTTCACTCCTCTGGCCGATGACGGCCATGCTTCAGTCTAATCTAGTTGACGAGTACAGTAAAGGCTGGGTCGCATGGAGGCTTCGGGAGCTCGGCGCCGCCTGCGGGTTTGGCCTCGCGGAAACCATCGTCTAAAAGGTGCTTGGTGGCGGTGAAATTGACGCAGTTACATGAAAGGCTCCTTGAAGTTCGGACATGTCGGTCTGCGAAAATGATGAGTACCAGAGTGAAAGTTTTGCTGTTAGCAGCACGACGGCGTGCACGAGCTAAAACCAAGCATTTGACTCGAGACACTGGATTGAGGAGGTTTCGAATGCGACCAATCATAGTTCGCTATCGCTCACACCGCCCGAAATGGTTTAGTCTTGAGGTTCTGTGTTTGCTGCTTTGCAGCAACATCTCAAACCACAGGCGCCATGTAGGAATTATAAAATCAAGGGCATTTGCCAGGAACGTAGTATTACTTCGGTCACTCTCATCTCTTCCAGTTTTACCATCTGACCAATATCTCCTTTCTGTGTTCTCTTCCCGGATCCAAATTGCACCGACCATGACATCTGGAACGTGTCTCTGTGGGGCCGCGAAGGTCACCATCAAGGGCGATCCGTTAGCCGCTGTAAGTGGATAGCTTCCGACCTAATCGCAGAATTTGCAAAGCTCATACAGACTACTTAGGCTATGTGTCACTGTCTCGACTGTCGCAAGACCTCTGGCAGTGCCTTTGCCGTCAACTGGGTAGTTCCAGCCAGTCAGTTGTCGGTCACTGATGGGGCTAGCCTCAAGGAGTTCACCGCTCCCGCACTCAGCGGCAACCCGGTCACCAACCACTTCTGTGGCTCCTGCGGCACGACGCTATGGCGAGAAGGCCCAAAGACGCAGGGGCTTTGCTATGTCAAGGCCGGCATCTTGGACGATGCTGATGCTGTGAACATGAGAAAGCCGTCGGCGGAGATCTTTACGACAAGGAGGATCGAGTGGATGAAGCCGATGGAGGGTGCCCTTCAGAAGAAAGAGTTGATGGAATGAGATGATCTGTATTTCAGAGCTTCTTGCTGACAGGAGGCGGTAATATTAACTTAGGCATCGTCTGATTACTGTTGTTGGACATTAGTGGGAGTTTAATAGCAGGCAGCAAATCTAGTGACTTCTGCCTCTCTGGTTCTAAGTTTGGAAAGCCAGTTGCAGCTACTCCTGCATATTGATACCTTGCCTGAGCGCTGAAGTCGACTTTCGCTCACTAATTAGGCTTGTAGTGAGTGATGAAGTAGAAACGGGATATGTAGTAGAATTCACTGTGATGCTTGACGAGGGTTAGTATGCAGTGACCCACTGTTACGGTGCTTCGTCTCCAAACGGTGCGTGACTGGATCGTCTAGAAAGGATGTCACTGGACAAGAACCCTTGCGATTCCATGAGAATTCACCATGATGAGAACTTCCCCAGACCTTATCTGGGTTTTTTCCCGAAGCAATGACACCACTTAAGAAGCTATTTAGTTTCTCCCCTATCGTAACGCAGGATAATCCCAGTCACTTGAATGAATCCTTCCCGGCGGAGACAAAACCAACATGGCTCGCTGTAATCGCTTACCGAGAAGGGCCACCGAAGAATCTCAAGCCGCGAGAGCCATGAAAGCCGCCAGACGGGCTGCCTCCAAAGAGGCAAAGAAAGCATCAAGGAGCCCCAAAACCCCGAAGCAAACCTCCAATGCATGCCACCCGAATTGGTATTGGAAATAGTCGACAAAATGCTTGAAGAGTACCCTCTAGGTGGCTACACGGAGTATGAAAAGATTAGAATTAGATGGCATGAATCACAAGACTATTTGAGCTTCAAATCTGTCAGAGATGCTGTGCACCTTGGCGCCACGTGCAGTAAAATGCACACAATCATCGCCCCCTTTATCCTCGAACACGACAAGAAAGTCAACTTCTCTTCAGCGCTACTGCTTTCAGTTAAGAGGGGGTCAATGGAAGGTGTCATCAGAGCTCTGAGCCATGGGCAAGACATCAATGCGGCTGATCGAAAGATGTTCGACATTTTCCATCACGGACAGTGATGGGTATGATTACGATATTGAGTATTGGAGAATCCCGATTTTCTCTACTCTCAAGTCTTTGCATTGGGCTTGTTTCTATGGAAACGAGGAGCTCGTCGCATATCTTCTTGCAAACGGCGCGGACTTTCAAGAGCGAGCCGACCTCGGATTTCAACACAGTCTCGAAATATATAAATCTGGCGATCAGTGGGAGTCCGAGACCCTCCACTGGAGCCATTCGCATCGAGCTATGATGACTGCCACAAAAGAGCAGTATGCTGAATTTCCGATATTTAGCGACCTTGAGATCCCAATTGGGGCCAAAGCACTATTATTTGCTTTGGAGGGCAGCCCGAGTCCCATTCATCGCATGAAGTGGGATGCGTCGACATTCAAAGAGGATGACCTTTAAGTCACCGAAGACGAAAGTGGCTGTCGTCTTGCAATTATGAAACTTTTGATTCGAGCAGGCTCCTCTGTCATCACCTGCGATGCAACCAAATTTTACGCTTTGCACCAAGCTGCATCTTATCGTGACATTGATGTCGCGAGATACTTATTGGACGAGCTTAACGTGGATCCAAACGTTCGAAACACAGATGACGAAACGCCACCCCACATTTTAGCCAGAAACCACGAAGATGGCCCATACAAACACACAAACGAGATGATAGAACTTCTAGTAGAGGTAGGAGCAGGCACGAACCTGAAAGGTTCGAATGGCCTTACGTCGGAAGAGATGTGTCTGTCGATTCCTGCCGTCTGAGGAGGGTTACCGAAAGGCCAAGCAATAGTATCTGCCGCTCTTTGCGTACGTATTCTTCAAATAGTAGATAAAAATCATTGCAGATTTGTTTGAATGAAGTTTTTTTTGGCAGCAGCACACAAGATTCTGATAACCTTTTTTGCGGTAAGGTAGATATGTTGCAGCCTAGAAGCCAGTCACGAACGCAGGTTAGATACAATCGAAATATTACATGCTTTGTTACGAAGTGCGACTGTCTGTCGAATTGCAGCCTTTCCCACCGGAAACCATGTTACCGGACTTTCTTAGCACGCCTGCCTTGGAGACACTGCGTGAAGCTCCTAAATGAAAGGTTTTGGCGACAATGAAAAGTGAAGAAGAGGGAGGAGCATGGACAAGACTTTTATTTTGACCTACCATAGAACTATTAATTGATCAACGTAAACGTCCTTGGAAGTTCTGACAATGATTATGTGCGACAGCCGAATCAGCGCAACAATGTAAGAAAGATGGTCCTCGTTTGTAATCTTCCAACAAATTCACCTTACTTCCAAAAATACATTTGGTGCCTCCCATTGAAATGTGTCAAACGCATGTGGATTACCATGGTCCTATCCATTGAGTCGCCACTTATGCTGATACTGAGGTGTCAGGCCATCAGAATTCTGCAGTGTTGGGTCTGCTCCTCGGTCCAGTAGCAGTTTCAGGGTCGTCCGGCCCATAGAACAAGAAACATCTCCTCTTGCCAGATAGTGGAGGGGTGTATTACCGTCCTCGTCTCTGGTATTCGGGCAGACCCATATCTCATCAATGAGAAGCTTGATCATAGCTTCGTTGCCGTACGCAGTAGCCTGATGTAAGGCATGGATCGCTCCGTACTCTCGTGTGAGCAGAGATGAACCATGCCTGATTAGTAATTCCGCCATTGAGGACCGTTTATCAGACTCGTTTCCATTAAGAACACTTTTCTGATCGTCGTAGGGATCATCAACCTGTATGAGCCACCTCAGGTAGTTTGCAGAAGTTGTGTCTGCCTTGAGAGCAAAGAAGAGGGGGTTTGCCCCAATGTGAATAGTGTCTCGTTTGCCGAAGTACCCAGACCTTCTGCTATCATCGCTTTCCTTGTTGGAGTGGCAGAACATGATCATCTGTGGATTGCTGCTATCCAGAGGTTCTTCGACCCATTCTTCAGTGTCGTCCCACAGGTAGTAACGATATCCCATATCGGCTCTGGCGTTGACATCTGCGCCTCTCGCGATCAGCAGTTTGGCCAATTCTTCATTGCCGAAGAAGGCGGCCCAGTGCAGGGCCGTGAAAGATGATTGTACTGGGTAGCGTTCCGTGTTGCTTTCCTCGGAATATGTGTAATAGTCGAACATGGTTCTGTCCTGCGCGTTGATGTCGGCGCCCGCTTGCAGCGACAATAACACCGCACTCGTTATCCCTTTCTTGGCTGCGATGAATAGAGCCGATGAATAGTCATGCTGAACATCGTGGTTGTAGATTGCAGGGGTCAGAACGGTGTGCAGTTTCCTGCATGTCGCTGCAAGGTGAATGACATCCCTCTCGGGGTCAAACCTGGAATAAGCCCCCTCTGTTTTCGTATACCACAATCTTCCTCGTGGTCTCTTTTGTGGGCAACGCACCCGCCATGCGTTGGCAGGATCGCTGATATCTTCCATGTCATATGCACTACGTGATGTTTCTCCAAACAAGAAGACGGCGATAAGAAGAACAATCTCTGGAGGTGTTGTCTCCAGGCTAGGGCGGACTTGTTGGCTTTGAGAGAATGAAGCAATCTCTTCTGTGGTGCGTGCCATCGAACCAAAGTTCTGAGTTTTGCTGTATTGCACCAGTGACTTTGATAAACTGTAATGTAGGCTGCTTCATAGGCTTTTCTTGGGATGCTGAAGGGGCGGAAAATGTTTGTCATCTTGGATATGATGACTCTTTAAATGTACTAAAAGAGGTTTCTCCGCAATTTCCTTTGATCAGGCCCACGGCCCAATACCATGGATGGTCGGTCTATGGTCGCTAGATCGGGACGTGGCAGCCAAATGCAGCGCCAACCTGGATCCATCCGGTCCCCCTAAGGTCACACAACGTACCGTCACAGCACTCAAGGTCGTCCATAAATTTGCTTCTGTTAAGGCAAATGGAACCATTCCAGAAAATACTTTGGGAAACCATACGACCGAATTGAAGGGACTGGTTTCATTCACTGAACAGGCGGAATTGAACAGTGAAGGTTGGAGAATAAGGGAACTGAAAAAGATATACGCAAAGTTCTTCCCGTTTCCAAATCGTTCATGCAGACTAACCCCGCTGTTTCGTTCCACTTTGATTCTTTCTCCATTAGTCACTTTGTCGACTTTGGTGTTTCCTCAAAGTTCACAGTCTGTAAAGATAGCCGATATGTGACATGAAAACTTCAATTTGTGTCTACACGAAGAATCTGAACTCCCATCTGCAATTTGGACTCTTGCATCAGTGTTCAAGATGTGTGCCTAAAAATATAGCATGTGTTATATTGAGCCACTCCTTGAATTGCCATTTGCTCGAGATGCACTCAATGTGATAGACCCTCGTGTTTTATACATCGTTGGTAACACAGCTCCAGATTAGTAATGAGAGAGAAGCCCGACAACCCAAGTACGCAAGGCTCATGCCCGTTCAATACACTTGCGGGGCAAGCCAATCTTTTCTGCCGTGAGGCCCTTGAAGTTCTGTAGGCATGGGTCAGCCCCTCTGTCCAGAAGTAGTTGGGTTGTCATCCACAGGTCCTGAATCTGCATCCCGCCTTTCTTCCCCAGCTGGCTCCCCGCGCCAATCGCCACATAATGCAAGGCCGTGTTGCTGTCCTTGTCTTTGATGTTGGGGTCTGTGCCCAGCTCGTCGATGAGGAACTTGACGATATCGTTCTGGCCATACGCACTTGCCTGATGCAAGGCATGGACCTGTCCATTTTCGCGGGTAATCAGAGAGGAGCCATGCTCAATGAGAAGTTTTGCCATGGACAATCGCCACCCATCCGGAGCTCTTCCCGCAAACTGTTCGACGTGGGGGCAAACGGTTGAGGTTCTCCATCTCTGTACCTCGGCCCAGTCATGAATGGATTTGAGGGCGAAGAATAGGGCATTGGCACCTCCAAGGCTTTCGGTGCTCAAGTAGGAGGAAAATTGGGAGTACGAACCACCGCTTTGTCTTACACTGTACTCCCAGTTCGTATGAGAGAACATTGCCCTCTGCGGGTGTGAAAAGCTCAGTCCGCATTCTTCCCATTCGTCGATTCCGTATCCTTCCTCTCCGTCGACTCCATTCATCGGTAACAAATATGACCGGGTCCCCACGTCAGCTCTAGCATTTGTATTAGCACCCCTTCCGATCAACAAACGCATCATATCTTCATTCCCGAAAAATGTGGCCCAATGCAGCGCAGTCAGCGACGAAGACACGGGAAACCGTTCCGAATCTTCCATATCATCGTCAAGTCCGCAGTAATCGCAGGAATCGCAGGAAACAACACTCAATTCTTGGTCGAAGTCAAAGCCGGTCCGATCAGGGGCGTTCACATCGGCGACTGCTTCAAGCGCTTGAAGTGCCACGTTAGACAATCCTCTCTTAGCTGACAGAATCAATGATGACGAGTAATTTTCTCGTACGTCGTGTTTGAAAACGGCAGGGCTAATGATCTTGTGTAGTCTTTTGCAAGTCGCTGCCAAATAAATGACATCTCGTTCGCGGCCAAAGTTGGAGTAGCAAACGGATTGTTGTATGCAGTTTTCGTGCACGCAGAAGCTTTTCTCGGTCACCTTATATCCACTAGGACCCTTGTCTCCGAATATCACGTCGACGATGAGAAGCAGGATTTCCGGTAGCATTCCTTCCAAGGTCGAGCAGGGCCTTTCTCTTTGAGGAGGTTTGGTAGTGGATTCGATGACGCCTGCTGCGCAAGCCGACTGGGATTGATCGGTATCCATTGCAGTCGTGTCGGTTCCCGCGTCCGGGAAGGGGGCCGTTGACTGACGCTGCATCGCGAAAGTGACGAATTGGAAGGTAAAGAGGGCTCGGTTTGGAAAAGTTTTTGTTGTGTTGCGGTGTCGGAAAAGTTCAGCGGAGATGAGATCAGGGAGATTGGAGAGACGCAAGATGCTGCAGCAGACGAGAGCGACGGTGACATGCCCTTAACCTCTGGGCTCTATTACTATGCTTTATAATCGAAGAAAACTTATCAAGGTTACTGCTAAATTTTGCACCCTTACGGACACCCTGATGTCAAAATGTAATGGAAGTACTGCGAACTGGCCCGTCGTCAAGGTGCTGGACAAAGTTTTCGAATGGATGAGTCCGTTTCGTTTTTTTTGACCTTTAACGCAGACAAAACCAGATGACAGCATCACTTGCAGACAGCTCATTTATCCTGAAGTGTGACCTGACAAGCAGATTTCCTAGCATCAGAATTCTCAATATTTACATGAGATCTCACCGCAATGAATGCTTCATCATGTCCTACGACATCTGATGAATGTCCCACTCGCCAGCCTGACGAGCGCCGGCACACGAACGCTTCTCTAACGACCCTACCAACGGAGCTCATCATCCTTATTACAGAAGCTCTTGTCTATGGAGAAAGTTGGGAATACTACGAACTAGAGGAAGATCATTATTCTTACAAGTACTCATCTCTCGACGACTTACCGAAGCCCTTCCCTTGTGTCAGGGCTGCCACACGCCTCGGGTCGACATGCAGGCGTCTGCGTTACATTACAGACCCCGTCATCATGGGTAATGACATCAAACACTGCTACTCATCTTCCCTTCTTCTTTCGGCAAAACGCGGTTCTGTGAGGGGTGTGGCCAAGGCCTTGGCCTACGGCGCTGACATCAACACCCTCGACCGTACAATTTTCGACTCAGAGTTCATGGATGGTAGCGGCTACGAAACACCACATATCGAGAGAATACCGACGAAATCAACCCTGACTGCGCTGCACTGGGCGGCGTTCTTCGGCCATGCAGATGTGGTGGCGTTTCTTCTAGGCAAAGGCGCTGATGTAAATGCTAGAGCCAATATGGGCATGCAGTGGTCGACATATTGGTCAAATCCAGACGAGTTCCCCGACCCTCTTAATCACGGGCATCCCCAGCGAGTGATGCTTTCTCCAACGCAAGACGATTTCGCATCTGAGTGGAGTCGAAGTCACAGTCACGATGACGCCAGATATTGGATTGGGGCAAGTCCTCTCTTCCTTGCTCTCAGGGCTGTTCAAGATACAAAAATAGAAAGTTCCTGGCGTACTTGGGACGATTGGGGTGTAGAGCCCATCATCGAAACTGACAACAGCGGGTGCCGGTTGCGCATCGCCCGCATGCTCATCGACGCCAAGGCATCTCTGACCACTCGGCTGAGGAGCTCCATCCACGCGATTCATCAAGCCTGCGCATACCGGGACTATGAAGTCGTTCGATTTCTTGTTTGCGACTTGAGTGTGAATGTTTCAACAACTGATCGAGACGGAAACTCGGCTCTGCATTATATGGCGATGCATTTGATCTATAAGCCCTCATCGTCCACGGTTGACTTAATGATACCACATCCGATAGAACGACAGAAGCTCATCTTACGCCTGTTACTCGACAATGGGCTAGACTTTGATTTGAAAAACAATCGAGGATATACGGCCAAAGATATGGGGCTGGATGTTGAGGACGATGGCGGCGGGTTGGCAGAGGGACGTGAACCTCGCTATTCTTGTCGACGTAAGAGGGGCCGGAGGGCTACAAGACTGTCGCAAACGACTGGTAGGGAGCTTGCTAGGTAAAGTGTTCCGTGCTCATGGTGGCAAATGATGAGCCTCTTCACTTTGGGACTTGGGAACCCACAAGATCGGGTGGGCGTGCATTTGGCTTGTGACTTCAGTCATGCCAGGGTCGCCGGAATGGTCAACGAGAGGAGACGTCGAGGTTATTTAAAAATGAAATTTGGGGAAGTACTCAGCTATCTACAATAACCATGGCGTGATTAGTTGCAGCACCCCCAGCACGCGTTCTGGTTGGAATCCTTTAAGGAACAAGACGTGCCTCGAAATCATTCCATCTAGCCACGTCAGCTTATTGTCACTAACTGACATCGGGTCAGACAAAATTTCAAAACTGCAACGCTAAGGATCGCCCATTCAATTCAGCCAGCGTGGACCACGTAGTGTCATTTTAAGGGTGAGAAATTGCGGGAGGCTTAGCTTAAGAATGGCAATTCAGATGGCATTTTTGCAAGAGAAGGTCGGCATCAAGAAATCCAGATCACGGAAGGAACGCTCCGGCCTCCCTGCCTCCTTCCTTCCTTCCGTTGTTCACCATCTAATCCCGCTTTGTCATCCATCATTCTTTCCTATCCGAACACATTTTGTTTTTGTTTTCTCTTTTGCCATCAGCGGAAGACGTGGAAAAGAACTAATCAACACCGACCGAAAATATCGCAAGACGCATTTTCCCAGGGAAACACGCCATGCTTCATACAATTCGAAGCGGAACGCCCCGGGCTTCTATGGAGGGCCTGCCGCCTGAAATCATCCTCGTCATTTTTGATATTCTGGGAGGACATAGTGGCGAGTGTAAAAACAGCAACACGTACGACGAGAAGGAGACCATCAAGACTAGCCACGAGGAGATTCGATTCCATCCCGACAAGGGAGAATACAAGCTGGTCACCTTATTCAACAAGCCGTTCCGAGGCATCGCAGATGCATTGCGCCTTGCGTCAACCTGCAAATACCTCTACAAGATCATCAGCCCAGCAACCTACAAGCACGACATCAAGCACCACTACAACTCTTCTCTGCTGATATCCGCGAAGAAGGATAACATCATCGGCGTGAAAAAGGCTATGTCGCACGGCGCAGATGTCATGGCCTACGACCAGACCAACTTCGACCATTGCCGCGAGCCACCTTTCACGAGGCGTGGCAGAATCAGCGTCGTGAGAGAACATACGCTTCTTTGCATGACCTCCTTAACATGGGCATGCTTGAACGAAAATGCAGAGCTGGCCAAGTTCCTCCTCGACAGTGGTCATACGCAGACTGCGCTGGGTGGCTTCGGGTATACGCGATACATTGGGGCCTGTGGCAAGCTTTATGACTTGGGGCTTCTGATGAAACGTCACCCCTCTCGGGCAATGCTCTGTCACACTCAGAAGGAGTACGAAGAGATGAGAATCGCCGATCGCAGCGGCCAGCGCTGGGACGCTGAAGGTTTCCCTGACGTGGGAGCGAGCCCTCTTTTCTTCGCCTTGAAATCCTGTCCCGACGAGTTGCGGTCGCAATGGCAGTCAACGAGATGGCGCAACAACCACCCCATTGTCGAAAGCGACGTCAATGGCAGACGACTTGCGGTAGCGCGAGTCTTGATCGAAGGCGGCGCGAGCCTGACCACCCGTGAGCGCGGCAAAATCCATGCCATCCATCAAACTTGTGCCGCCCGAGACACTGATGTCGTCAACTATCTCCTCAACGAGCTGAAAGTCAACCCCAATGTCACATGCGAGAACGGCAACACGCCCCTTCATTTCATGGCGATGAGCCTCCTTCACAAGCGGCCCCCCGCGCAAGTCCGCATCGACTTCCCCCCGGGAAATGAGGCGTCGGTCATTGACATGCTGGTCAGCAAAGGGGGCCGACATCTCCTTGCAGAACAACGATGAATGGACAGCGGAAGGAAAGGGATTGCCGTTCAGTAGGCAAAATCGGACAGATTTTATGCAACAGAGGGAGCGAGCAATGAAGATGGAGAAGCTGAGACAAGCGAAGAGAGCCAGAGAAGATGGGAACTAAATAGAGGTGACACTGGAATTATTCGAGGAAGCCCTGAGAGTCATGGAGAGCGAATCATGAAAGAAACATCGAGAGAACAGGAGTGCATCAGCTGATGTTCAACATAGTGTTGTATTTCTACGAAGGACTATGCCAACGAGTTCCCGAAAGTCGAAGAGCCCACAAGTTCGCAATGCATGTCGAAGGCGGTTTATGTGTGTTCTAAGATTTGGTGTGGTGAATATCATACTTGAGAACCGTGAATAGGGGAGGATGCTTACTTTCTCAGCTCACGATCTAGCCACACTTAACCCAGTTCGGGCATCTTCCTCCAGGGTTACACACCTCGGCACAGTTTCCGCTGGCAGGTCGTGGGAGTGCCGCGCACCCAGAGGCATCGGAAGTTCGGTTGCACTCACAGTAGCATGTGCCCTGTGCAACGATGGTGGCAACTTGTGCCGCGACGAGGAAAAGAGCTTGTAAACGCATTGTGAAGCTAGGAGTTGGGGGAGAGATGGTCAGATAGTCAACGAAAGTCTGAGAATATTGGATCAAAGCCACTTATTGCGATAAGCTGGAGAGAAATGAGTGTGATTAAATCACATCGATCGAGTTTAGTCGACGGAATTCCAGCTTTTATAGATTTTGTCTTGCTGGTTTTACAATTGTTGCAATTGAGTCAGTTGGACTTTCGTCTCAGAGTCTTGTTTTCTCTAGATATCTAGAAGTTGCCTTTTCTGTAGAGTTTAAGCAAGTCGTTAAAGGCTGTGTAGGCTGTACAGCTTATTGCATAATCTGGACTCGTATCGTATACGACCCCTAATAGATACCGATGAAGGCAAATGTAGAGTCAAGACACCAGGAAACCCATCACTACATGTTACGTCCTGTGCTGTCTGGAAAGACCTGCGCACAGGACAGCAGGCTTACCGTGACGGCTTCAAGAACTGGCACCAACCTAGACACCAACAATCCTCCTTGTTCCTGGGCCCGGTAAGGGGAAGCTCGGAGACTTTAATCCCAGACCGGAGATCGGGCGAACCATTATTTTGCTCGGGGACTTAAGTCTTTCGATGGGCCTTTGCGGCAGCGCCAAGTTGAAAAATGCGGCGTAGGCATGTCCGTAGAGCTGTCCGTAGTTGTCTGGCGTTTGGGTAAACTTTTGGCCAAGTTGCCGATCCTAAGCAATTGGTTAGAAGTCTTTCGTATCACGCCCATACATGGTAAGTCATGTGAACTTTCTTATATTGAGCCAATGGGGGGACCAACCAGGCAGCATCCCGCCGCCTCCGAGTCAGGGGCCCGGTCCACTAATGAAAATGATCAGTTGTATGCAATTTTGTCTACTCGCAAGATAGCTTGCCGTTTCGAGACGGATAAGGAAAGTAGCTAGAAACCTGGGGGAACCAGAAGATGATATAACATGAGCTCTTTGTTTTCGACACCAACTCTTATAGGCGGATTACTTTTTGCATCAAACGCATTCCATCCGAGCAACGCCCATTACAGAATCAACTCCTTCAGCTTTCATTGTCGCCCTGCAGCTTATACGCCTTAAACATGTTGTTCTCAGAGATTTTTGCTGTTCTTCTTGCGTGCGCCAGTGTCGCGGCGGCAGATTGCCGGACTCAAAGCTACCGAGGCACCGTGTACAGGGACGGCACAGCAGCCGAGTGCACCGGAAGAGCAAGCGCTGTTTGTCAGGCTGGGCAGACTCAGGAAAAGCTGCGATACAGCTACGACGGGGACGTTTACAATGAGGGCAACGGTTGCGCAGTTGCGGTGAGTAACCCGAGTGCTGAGTGGGACATTATTCTAATCAGACAAATGTTTAGGTTACTTGCTGCACGAAGTAATTGACATGGACGTCAATCGCCCTCGGGAGAGATCTATCAAGCGGTGCGTTGATGAAGGCGCACCGACGCAACTTCACCGTTGACGCTGAAGACGAAGATAATCACGGGAAGAGTGGTGGGGTGGAAGCGCAGACAAGGGGACGGGTACGCAGGGTATGGAGAGTTACTACGGGTAGGAGGAGGATAATCATACAGGAGGTCGAGAGATTCGACGATTGAATGAAGGCGACAGCGATGGAATTCGTAGAAGAGATCACCAAGGAGCCGGTAATGATGAGCACAAACGAGGGTGACGGAAGACAGAAACCGTAACATCAAACATAGGGTAATACTGCGCTCTAGCAAAACATCTAGAGTTATGTGCAGGTGAACGAGCAACACAAAATAGGTCAGCGATACCCATCTGTCGTGTTTCATATCATTGAATCAGCTGAAGGAACTAATCGGCTTTATGCTGATTGTACAAACAGGATAAGATGCACTGGTTGACTCAGCATCTCGGCATGAAGCGACCAAGCAAAGAAGCCTTCAAAAACATCGCACAGCCGACACAGCATGAACACCAGTGTTGAAAAGAAGAGGACGAATTATCAATTAAACATCTATCCAAACTTTTCCCCAACCCCCTTTTCTCCCCTCCATCCTCATCTAGTTCCAGCTGCAAGGGACCTGGATAACCCAATCCGGGTAAATCAGGTCCTTGTTCGTGATGCGCGCAGAGTTCATCTGCTGCAGCTTGTCGGCCGTCGTGCAGAAGTCGTAGGCAATGCTGTTCAGCGTGTCGCCCGACTGGATCACGTACGCGCCGTCGGTCGCCGAGTTCTTGGCGCAGTCGCGCTGGCGGCCCGCGTTGTAGTGGCACGGCACCTTGAGGTTCATGCCCGGCTTGATGCTCTGCAGGTTGTTCCACTGCTTGATGACCGCGGGCGACGTGCAGAAGTCGGCCGCGATGGCGTCGAGCGAGTCGGAGGAGGTCGTGTAGTACCAGCCCTCGGAGGCTGCGGTGTGCTTGCAGGCGCGGCGCAGGCCGAGGGTGGAGCCGAAGGTGGCGGCGAGGACGAGGAGGATGTCGGAGCGCATTTTGGCTTTTGTGTAAATGAGCGTGGTTTGAAATGAGTGTTGGTAGTTGGAGGTGGGTTGGGAAAGAAAGGGTCCTGGGATGGAGGCAAGGAGGATGCTCGCGATGTATATATATATATCAGAATATTATCGAGCATGGGCAGTCTTGACCCAGCAAGTTCCGTCTTTCGTATTGCTTAGACAGAGGACCTCTCATTAAAGCTTAAACCACCAAGATGAAAAGCTTCCCGTCTGGAAAGAATGTCAACATGCGCCCGCCCGCCCCCAAAAACCGTCCCATCTTGCGATGAACCCGTCGCACGGACTGCTCCGCCTTCCAGAATGCTACTCTATTAGACTTCACGACAGCCCTACCGCTCATCTCCCGCCGGTCGGTTTCACCGTACCACAGGTGTGGGTGGGCTTGCCGACAGGCCTCATTTCTTCGCCTTGAGAATCGTGAGACGGCCTCGACTGCTCGGTGACTGCGGTTCCTGGGCCACGCCAAATGCGCGTAAGATCGTCCTTCCCGGCTGGCGCTGACTCGTTGGCTCGGGCGCCCGTGTGGGGGAGCCATCCCGGAGCGGGCGGCCGGCACTGGACGGCGGTCCATCAGACAACGACAACTTCCTCTACCAAGCGACGTGAGAGGCTGACCAGGGCTGTAGTTATGATGACCAGATGTAAAGCTCCGGTCGGTTGCAGCGGCAAAGAGTTCTAGAAATTCTGCGCACTTTGGGTATGCGAGGCTGTCCGAGTCAACTCGGGTAATCGGAGCAATCGACTTACTCGCGAAGGCCGTCACCTGTGCGTGACACGGGCCGGCGTGGTGGAGCTGCAATATAACAAGCATTTGACGGTTTGACGCCAGAGTTCTCCCGGCAAATTGCATTCATGTGTTGAGTTTGCGAAGAGGGTGTTGGGGATGGGTGGACGCGTCGACTGAAACTCCGGACGGGATGAGCCGGTCTGTTCAGCAAATGCCGCGCTGTCATCGAGTTCAAACCTGCTGTTGATGCGAAAGAGCGAGTGGTGATAAAGTAAGAAAAGTTGTCTTTTGTGTCGTTGGCTTTTTTTTGTCTTCCATCCACAGATGAATTCTATTGTACAGTTACTTTTTGTCTTCGTCGTGGGATCTAGCACTGAACACCGCCAGGACCGACATATCGTCATCCCATCTAGTTATTTATACAGATGTACGTCCCCAACATCCCACACATCTCCAGCCTCCCTTGCCTATTTTTATTTTTGGTGATCCAACCAGCGAACGCCCCCTCTTCAAATAAACAGGACAACAAACGCCTCCCTAAATGCACCATATATGCAATCGTGACAAACGTGAACCAAATATCCATCGCATGGCTGCTCATGAGAAGAAGTACTCGCTATTCTTGAGCGACTGGACGTTGAAGTCGCCCTTCGCTGGGACAGGGGGAAACTTCAGAGGCATCCAGATCTGGGTGGGGAGCTGCCCTCGTTTCTTGGGTTGCTTCTTGTTCAACACGTCCTGGAAGTAGGACACATTATCGCCCTTCTTCTCGAGCATCGCCGCCAAGATACGATCGCCCACCGAGGGGGTCGATTCGTCGACATCGCCGGCATCAGCCTCCTCGCTGTCAACGGCCCCTTCGTCGGAAGCGTCCTCCAAGTCATCGGCCTTCACTTCAGAGATCTCCCCAAGACCGAACCCTGCCAGCTCTTGGGCCTCCGTTACAACATCCTCTTCATCGGCCATCTCTTCGAAAATGCTGGCGGGAGTCACCATCGCCTTGCCCTTGGCGACCTCCTCAGGATCGGAAGAGTTGAGAAGAGTCTGTCTCTCACGCTCTCGGAGCATCTCCTCCTTCAAGCCCCATCTTTTTGCCATCCGGAAATCGGAAATTTTCTTGTGAACAGGGCCGGGCTTTACTTGTGCCATGTACAGAGAGCCTCCGTAGCGGGCTTCGAACTCGGTAGCGAGACGGCCGACAACGTCCTCTTCGTGAATTCTGATGAAGGCATCTCTGAGCACACGGTTCATGGAGTCAACATCTGCAGCATGTGTCCAGAAAGAGTCATGAACGGCGGCAAAGTCGAGACCAAGTTCGTTGCACTCGAGAGCGGAAAGAAGCATGTGCGTAGCGTCGAGAGAATGGATGAAGTTCGGAGGGAAAGCCTGAAGTTGCTTCTTGGCGTGGACAGGATCTGATCTTTCGGGGACGGTGAAGGACATGTCTTGAAGGGCAGTGTGAATGATACGAGTCCCGTGCTTACGGTACGGCTGAGCAACCGGCATTCGTAGCGGGGTTGTCCAGACGATAGTCGCGCGGAATTGTGACAGCATATCGCTTCTGGAAACCTTGGAGTCTTCAGATAGGCCATCCTGAGAGATGAGCTCTATCTGTTCGGGTGTGACAGCCTTGCAGACGCGCCCACCGATTTCGCCGAGCCAGTACTGGATATCGTGTGCGCCCTTGAACATGGTTGACAGTGCCTTGAAAACAAGACCGGCGATATAGGTAGCACTGGTGAGGTTATTGACACCAGTCTCTTCTCGGAGTTCAGGATACAGGGCATCGAGCTGCTTGCAGATTTGCTTCCTGGCTCCGGCAAAGGTGACACCGTAAACATTTGTCATGACTGTCTGTTTGACGACCTTTCTCGTAATCTTGCCGTTGAGACCCATGGCGATGGGGTGCTTGACTTCGACGTCCTTGGCAATGTGATCCTTGACGATGTTGGCAACGGCGGAATAAACATCAGCAGGTTTGTCGCTGGGCGCGAGGTTCACTTGTTCAGCACCCCAAGTATCACCACCAAGGGCAGCGTAATGCTGGAGACCGTTGCAGGTACCGTCCTGGTGAACAGGCAGGTGAGACACGTATTTGGTTGGCTCCGGTGACTCGAGAGCCGCTTTGAGCTCGTAACACGTCGCAAGACATTGCCAGGGATCCTCCGCCTTCAGCCACCACATGTTGCCGGTCAAGGGGTTGTTTGCCGAGTCGAAAATGTTGACCAAGTTTTCCATCGCGAAAGACTCTCTGTCCTTGAGACTTGCCTTGTCGAAACCATAGACGTTGGCTAGGTGAACCTTGAGCCATTGAAGGCCCCGTTCACCAAGCTCCTTGCCCTTGGCGAAACGCAGGAGACCACGAACGTGATCAGCACCCATGTGGTTGAGGTATGTAGGCAGGGGGTAGGCGCGACCTCGGAAGTCAACGTTGTGCGGAAAGTAGAAACTCTGGTTCCTGAAGGCCCGGGCGATTTCCAACTGGAAGTTCATGAAGCATCGCTGCGAGTGAAGAGCGCCTTTCTTATTTTCGATTGCTTTTACGTGCCGGATCCAAGTTCGGCGCGCCATAGGATCGTCGCTGAGCTCTGGTTCAGGTGGGTACGAGATGTCGGGAGATAGTTCGGGGAAGTTGGCAAAGGCTTTTCCAGTGTTCCACGCCTCAAGCATCACGTTGAAGACAGGGGTGTTGATTCTCCATGCGGTCTTGCCCAGAATATCCAGCCCTTTGAAAACCTGATCCATGTCGCCTCGTGAAATAGCTGCTTCGGCGTACAGCTTTTGCTCCTTGTCGCCCTGTTTGACACGAACAACAGCCGAGGTGCTCTCAAGGAAACCCCCCTTGTTGAAATCCGTCCATGGCTCGGGAGGGACCACCATCGGGAGGTGCTTAGCCAGGTAGTCTCCTCGTGGCTCTGACTTCATAATGGTGACCAGGGTCTTGTTCAGCAGGATCATGCCGATCTTCTTGCCCCGCTTCAACCGGAGAGCGTGGGAGAAGGCGGGCTGGTATTGATGAATCAACGTCTGTGTGACCGGCTGCTCCTGAACGACCTTGATCTTGGCTGTCTCGAGGAGCGACGTGAGGAGCATAGCACCCAACTTCACCTTCACCGCTACCGGCCAGGGAGCCTCGACCAATCTCTTGTCTCTGGCCGCGTCATTGCCCAGG